ATGTAGCCAAGAAAGCTTCGAGCCCTTCCTGGAGGCACAAAGGGAGGGGGGCGGGGGCCGGTATGAAACTGGTCGATATTTAATGTGCTCATCATCAGAGCATTCTCAGCAAAGCATCCTTTCACACAAACAGCAATAAGTCACCTGCAGTCGGTGGAAATCTAAAATGTGTTTTTCCTTCTAATAATTCAACTGTAGTGACATTGCGTTGTTGCCCCCCCTCAGTCTTTTCAGGAGTATTTTGGAGCTAAAACATCCAGGCCTGCAGTCACAAGGAGACGGAGAGGGCACGAGAGGGAAAGATGGAGGGGGGTGGGTGGTGGTTAAGGAGACTGCAGCAGTAAGCAGGTAGTGAGGGAGGGAGTGTCGTTGGAAGGGGGTGGGGTCCTTTGGGACTCCAGCACCTCAACTCACGCCTCATCCCCTCCTCTCCCCATACGCCATCCATTCATTCCTTTCCAGGCCTGCGCTTGCTTAATGTACTGCAGTGTGATGTCACAGTGTCGCGGCGTCAAGCAATTCAAGTGAAGGCGGCGGTCTCACTTTTCAGGTCTCTGATGAAGGACACGGGCTTGATGGCGTTGCCCGTGTTGGCAAATGTCTGGATGATGTGGTTCTGCATGACACAGATCATACAGAAGCCCGACTGGTGGCCTGGAAGAGCACAAAAAGCATCGCAACGTGTCACGGCGTGGAAATTTGTCACTGTGGCGATGACACAGTTGTGTGTGCCTAGCCCAATTGCACAGTACAATCTTGCGTATGTTGACATAGACACAATTGATAGATAATTAGTATGCGTCTCCACCTTCCACCCAAAGTGAGCTAAAATTGGCTCCACGTGATGGACGGTTGGATGCCACTCCTGTCATGTGTGGGATTTAAGACTCACAGACACGGCTGTGCTCCTTGGCGAGCAAATAGTTGGCGAGGGGCGGCGTGTAGGTGAGACACTGCACGGTGGAGTTGAGGAAGCAGGTGTTGCCGAGGTTGTGGAGGCCGGCCCCCACCCTGTACACCCGCTCCCACTTGAGGGTCAGCTTGTTCGCCGGGAAGAGCATCTTCTGCGGCGCAGCGATGCCATCGCCTTGGCCTCCGATCGTGTTCTCTGAAACTAGACACAATCACATTTTGAATTAAAATAACTATGAAGCACAGATGTGTGAATTTCCAGAGTACAAATGGCAAATGTAGAATGAAGCGGTCTGTTTGGTTACCTTGCCTCTTGAATTGAGGGGGCTCGGCCGCCCTCTGCCCAGGGGCGCCCTCGTTCCTGGGATTGAGGATCACATACTTGTTCTTCAGGCTGTCCAGCTGGTAGGAGAAACCCTTGCTGGCGGGCTCAAACTCGATCTTCTGCAAGAGGACCTTCTTGGCCGAGCAGGCCAGCAGCTTGTTCAGGTCGCCGTCATCGCCTGACTCCTTTCGACTGGGCTTCAGAGCCTCCTTGAGTTTGTCCACAATCGGCATTGTTGAAACATCACTGGAAAAAAAAAAATGGGGGAAGTCAATTGTGTGGGATGGGGTGAAAGATGAGGGGGAAAAAAAAAAGCTTACTTGCGTGGACCAACACAGTTGGTTCGATGTCAAATTAGGGTTGGGTAATGAATTGACAAATGCTTTTTTGGAGTTACTTTAAGAAGAAAAAATGAGAAAAGAAAACTTTCTTCTTCTTGTCTATGGTGGCAAACATATTTCGTCAGTTCTGCTGAATTAAAATGAATTACCCGCCCCCTGGTTAAAGTAAGGCTACTGCCCCTTTAAAGAGAGTGTCAACACTAAATGCTTAGCGTGAGTGTGCTTAACCACAACAAGCATCGAGCAGTCATCTAATAATCATGCAGCCCGTCAGTATTGTCCTCCACATCAAATGTAAACCTCTTCTTTTTCCTCATCACTCCAATACGCTATAGAGCGCCTGGAAAGGCATCGCAGAGGACGGTGATGTCACCAGAGTGGGTGGGGTGGGAGGTGGGGGAAGAAGGCCCAAACATATGTACAAGGACACTACGACCTTCACGTTCCACTGTTACTGATCCGAGGGACGACACGCAGCCCAAGGGTGTGACGACAGCGACGTTGTTATGCAATTTAACAGTCGCTCTTAAATTGGAACTAATTGGTTACTCAAGGGGCTATAAAATTTAAAAAAGGAATGCACAAAGGCATTGAATAGAATCATTTTTAATTCATCGGTCGCTACTGCTTATGAAAAAGGCTTTAGCATCAGATCTTGCAATTGTTTATCGAATTAAGCCTCAAAAATCACATGGCTTTTATATTATGTTTACTGATATTATGTTTACTGAACAACATATGGTAGAGAATACTGGTAAATAGCAAATAAAATCCCAATAAATTATTGCTCAAAATGCTTTTCTTTTATTTTGCAGTTTAACACGTCCCGCATCTTACACTAACGTTGCAGTCATCATCAGTGAGGAGTTTGTAAACAAAAGCACAATCTCTGTTGCCAATTTAGTAATTTTCCACCCCCTCCAGGGCATTTTTTTTTTTTTAATTTCCCCCAAGACGAAGCACATATTTTTACATAATCTCTTGAGGTTTTTTTTTTTTCAAATCATTTCTGATAATATGACTCCAAAAATCACCCACTGCCGGTCCCGGGCCTGGTTAAGAAATCGAGCAGAATTTATCAGGAAGGGCATCCGCCATAAAAAAACTTATCATGCAACTGACTGGCTGACTGGACACGCGGAAAGTCGCAATAAAATAAACGTCCAGAGTTTAGTGAAGATCAGAAGAATCACATCTGCAGATGTATATTTTTGGGAACCCATGATCCGTTATTTGATGACAATCTCATCTATCTGCCTTTTTTTTTGTGCTAATGCCAAGATTTAAATGTATGTATTGTTTGCAGTGGAATCTTGGTGATGAACTTCATCACAAACCTTTGTTTGTAGATTTGCCACACCCAAAGATTAAAGGCATTTATTTATATAGCTGTGGAGATGACTGCAAATATTGAGACCAAGAGACAAAGGCGAATAATGAAACTACAGGTAGCCATATCACATGTTTTTCCAATATCGCTCATTCCTCCTTTCATATATATCATCTCTGAAATATGGAACACTCCTTCCCCTCCCTTAAAAGTCCGGGTGAATGTATTTCCAATGTGGGTGTCCACAAGGTATATTTAGAATATGTACATTGATTTCAATTGTGACCCAATTTGTGACTGTCTTTTTTTTTTGTGTTTGTTTGTTTTTGTCAAATTCATAATTTACACTCCTACGGATTTACAATGCAGCGAAATCAGTGATGACAAGTACCGGTATGGGGGAAAAAAACAAACTATAAACGTGTTTTAAGTGATATTATAATCGGCCTCATGCACCATACGTCTGACACTGAAGATCGAAGACTGTCTGATCGTCACCAATCGCGTCAAGCCATTGACTCGTTGCCAGTCAAACCAGCTGCAAGCGCTGCTGGAATACATTGTCATTATTACGTCGTAATAAATTAAAATCACTTTAAATCTGAGATTTGATCGGGGTTTACTCATTTTCACCTCGGCGGCGTCTGGTGTTTCACGACCGCGACGCGTCGGGCCACTTGGCGTGGGGTTAGCATGCTAAGTTGCTAACCAAGTAACACTGTCGACATTACACGGCGTAAGAAGGGAGATGAGACGATGCCATTACGTTCGTGTTAAACCTAAGAGCCACGTTGGATCATTATTGTCCTTAATTTTGAGAAGTCGAAACATTTAGCGTCTCTTTGAGGATAAGGACGTCGGTGGCTAAATAGCTAGTCGGCTAACTTAACGTGGCGGAGAGGTTTCGAGTAGCCCTCACTTGCTGCACGATGGCTCGCGTCACCGTGCCGGAAAATGCCGAATGACATCGCTCAAGCGAAAACGAGACAAAAATAGGTCATTTATTTATAATAATGTCTACAATTTCTGAACGGTCTCACCTTTTTATCGCTCAAAATCATTGAAAAGGGAGAAGTCCTCTCCTCAGATGTTGCTTCTCCGCCTGCTGGTATTTTCGCCCATGCTGCATTATGAGAGGGCGTTGAAGAGAATGACGGACACCTAGCAAGGACCAATCGGCGAACAAATCCCGTCTAGGTAGCAAGTTGAGCCAATCAGCGCCTAGATGGTCATTACGCTGTTCGGGAATGGACACGTGACGTGCGGGCTCTGCTGTTTACCATTTTCAATGATCACCTACTGGAGAGTTTAATGTCAAGATAACGATTAAGTCTAGATAAAATAATTTAGAGCCCAAAATCAAGAATTAAAACGTTATAGATGTAGTGGTGGTAAAATGTGATGTGAATCAGATTCTGCAAAATACAATTTGCCTTGATTTCTTGTGATGACATGACCTCCCAATCCATTGATGGTGAGGTGACGTAATACAACTGCCTTGAGATACGAGTGTATTCGTTTATTCGTTCCGCATCTTAAATCTTAAAACACCATTATCTTAAATCATATTTTCCTTTGAAATTAATTAAATGGCATTTATTCCTTCCAAAAAAAAAATTGAACGGTATTTTACTTTGTAGCATATAGTAATAACGTACTTACATTGATCATAATTAATTCTGATGTGCCTGTCTTGGGCCACTGGCCAGCAGTATAATTCAATACAAAGACTTAAATGCTTTATCATCATTCCTCACGCAAGTGATATTTACCAATGAGTATGATTTTGTCTGTTTCTGCAGTGTGTGAGTATATGTGTGTATGTATACTTTCTATAGCAATATAATAATGCCATATACTGTCATGTAGATGTATTTGTTTGCCCATCTATGGCATGTACGGCAATGTTATTTGCTGTTTTTAAATACGAGTGTAATTCTTTTTAGTCAAGGCTTCCCTGCTAAAACTGATGCCCCCGCGACCCTACCCCGGATTAAACGAGAGAAAATGGATGGATAGTTTTTCCAAGCATCATCAATTTATTGCCACTAGAGAGCAGCATATTTAAAGTAACCACTACACACACTTCATACGTACTGTAACCATATTTAATCAACATTTCTTTCAAAAAGATACAAATTTCAAAACACTGCTCTGAAATGAATCATGACCACACAAACTTGTATGCAAAACAGATCTTGTTCTCTTGACAAAAATGATCAATATAACATCTTAAAAACATCAGCATATAAAACACAGGAGTGAGCAACCCTTTTTCCACCCTTACCCCGTCATTGTTTACTTAAATATATTTGGGCTACAAGGAGGAGAAAAAAAAAATAGTCAGATGTGGAAAACAGTAATAACATCGCAGTGAAGCTTAATACTGACTTATGTGGACTGCGCTTATTTCTGCTGAAGCAGTAGTTTATACAGAAGTGCTTTGGTGTCAAAAAGTGCTGAATCGTCACAATGGGGGGGGAAGAAAAAAAATACACTGCAATGATTTTTCATTCGAAATTTGAGTTAAGGGTCTTCAATATCCATGAATTTCTTCTTGGGCAATTCAGCCCCCCTGTACCAGGCGCAAGAGTTGTCGTTTCTCTTGATGCAAGCAAAGTGTCGGGCCTGCTTGCCGTTTGTAATCTTCTCCGTCAGATAGTCAGTCCACAAGCACTCGGCGGGGCTGCTGATGGCACACGGGATGGAGGTGCAAGGTGTGATCTGCGAGGCAACCAAGGACAGGATTTTCATGATCTTGTTTGCATATTGTAGGCTGACGACTGAAACGCTAATTTTTCTTAAAGACCGTGTCGACGTGACCAAAGATCATTAATACCGCACACGCTTTTACAACATGTTATACATCTCCACACTTTAAACTGAGCGACTTCACTTTCATCTGTAGGTGCCGCTGTTTTGGGTGGGCACCATCTATAAGATTACGTGGCCACCACACAGCAATATAAAACCATAAACGCGAAACATAAAATCCACACGTTACGTTTCCTACCTTGCAATCGCAGCCCATTTCATAACGCTCCACCAGGCTGTTTCTTTGTATGGCGGTCAACTTCTCCCACGGCTCGAGGAAGTTGCACAAGGTGATGTGCAGCGAGTCGTTGGACTTCAATCTCCCTGTAAATGCAAAGACGAAAGGAGAACTGAGAAACTCGCGGGAGGTTTTGGTCCCGCATGCCCATAATTTGATTGCAATTTGAGCATACTGTCAAAACATCAAAGTATCACTACTACTACTAATTTACTGAGTTCAAGTAACTCTTGCAGTGTGCTAATTTGCTTGTCCAACTAGTTACTGTACTGTAAATAAATACCTGTGATGAGATACTCGACGCCTTTAGCCAGAGTGACTCCACACAATGAAGAGGTCGGCGCAGTGTAGATGGCATCAAAATTCTTGTCAGGGCCCTTGAACATCTGGCGAAAAAAAGTTAAGATCAGTTTGATAAATGTTGAATTGGCATACGTGCAGATTTCAAGCCTATTTGAAGTCTTTTACCTTGGTCTGTTTGATGCTGTACTTAATGGGTTTGAAAAAGTCATCGTCAGCCTTCACTCCAACCACCTTGGCCTTGATAACTGAAAAGACAGAATGAATTTTCAAAGATGACATTATATTAAAAACAAATGGGGCTTAGGGGATTTGGGGCCGAAGCAGCAGCACCGCATGACTGTTTCATCAGCTGTACACAGAAGAATGAGTGTGCACAGCCGGGATCCAAAACACACTGAGGAAACCAGTCAGCATTTTCAAGGCTCGAATTAAAACAACGATAATCCTCCTAAAACCCTCACAGGCCTGCCTGGATTGGTTTTAAAAAAAATGGGGATGAGGAAATCACTCTTACTTTCCAGCTTCCTGATTGAGAGGTTTGAATGTGGGATGGGGAGGTGGGGGGATAGAACACTTCAAGTGGAAAAATATGATTAAGTCTTTTACAGATTTGCCTTTTTTGTCTTGAGTGCAGCCAAGTGCTTGAACAACAAAAAAATAGAAGTTCCACGTGTCTCGAAAGACTGACCATATGCCAACCATGTCACGTATCACTGGATCATCAGAGCCAATGTGAGTGACTCATACGCTTCTTAACAGAGAATCCACATCTGTCAAGGAGGCGCCAAAGCAAACTAAATCATTTTTTCATATCTATCATGATTTGATTATAATAGGTGCTTCCAGAATCCAGCCTCTCCTTTTAAGGAGATGTGCAGCAAAGCTGACTTGCGAAAAAGAGGAAAACAAGAAAAGCGGACAATTGGAAGGGAACAGTGCTGATGCTGCTGAGAAACTCCTCTGGCTACAATTAGCGGTAATCCTGCTCGCCTGCCTGTGCAGAATCACACACAAACGTTGCTCTACTGGTGTTCAGTAAAAGACTTTTTTTTTTTTTTTTTTTAACCTCAGTGCTGCAAACTGTGAGATGTTCATTGGCCCTGTGATCATTAGCAATAACTTAAAAGTCTTCGTCAATTACATGCATGGATTCGTTACCTCACAGCCAATCAGAGTGATCATTTATCACAGTTTGCCATTTTGCATTTCAAAAGACAACCAATGGCTCAATCATTCGAATCATATCTGAAAAGCACAATGACACAAAAGTCTCATTTCTTTTTAAATGTTCTTAACTTAAAACAGATTATTTAGATCAATTGTACATTTATTCTTGACATATGTCGTTTTTATTTAAAATGTGTCCGAATGTCAAAGGGTCTAAGAATCGATGTGAACATGGCAGAAAAAAAAATCAGAAATATCTAAATTTTCTCCAATGTATGGGGTTTGCCAGGGGCGGGGTGGCCACTGGTCACCCCGTAGCTCCGCCCCTTATCCGACCAGGGTTACTCGACTTGCACGTGACGATGAAAACGTGATAAAAAGTTAAACACGCTCCATCAAAGCACGCGTACATACTGTCAAAAAAATCCCCACCCCTAAATCGAGTTCATAGCTTTAGAAAAAAAAAAGTTAAGAACGAATGAAATCGGGGCACCGTTCAACTTACCGACATCCGCTTGGCAAAACCCCTGCTGCGGATGCGTCGCGCCACAGCTGCAGGCTTGTGCTCCTTCCTGTAACAGCCACAAGCACAGCAGCACCAGGGGCAGCACCAGGTTCTTCACCGTCCAGCTCATCGTTGATCGTTCAGGGAAAAAAAAAACAGCAGCAAAATAACAAAAACAAAAATTATTAAGATTCTGCACGAACCGTTTGGGAATGGAAGCCCTGTTCAGTGCGCAGGAAGGGTTTGCTCTGCTGGACTCCACGTTCACGAGGGCCTTTTTAACGCTGCAGAATCCGCCCACAAGTGACGTCACTTGCAATGTTTGACGACTTTTTTTTCACCTCACCAAGCGCGTATGCACACACACACATTCACACACACCCTCACACACACGCGCACACAAAAAAACGCGCACGTATGCACGCGTGCACGTGTGTATGTACGTGACGGTTTTTTTAAGGGGGGGGGGGGTTGGGCAGTCCAATACTTGAGCGGGATACACGTTAGAGGAATGTGACCGCGCTTTCCAGTTACCGTCTGATCTAACCCAAGTTCAAATTATAGAGAATAAATGTGGGGTCTCAAGCAAAGAAGCAACACGGTGAAAAAAAAATATATATAGCACCATTGTTTTGTCATTGATTTGAGCTATCTGCCTTCTTTTTGGGTCCCCTTTTGCCTTTATCCTTGTGATGGCATCTCATTGGGTCGGGTGATTCTCAAACTGGGGTCACTGGACCTCCGTATCAAAAGCCCCCAAGCAATTTATGCCATAAAAAAATGGCAATTAAATTCTGAATATTCTTTTCTATTTGCAGTACCACTTGCCAAAGGACTGGCTTTGGAACTGCAGGTTGTTTGGCTGGAAAAGGAAAGGGAAAAGTGAGTCACTGCAAGTGGTTTATTGAATTTAATTAGATAAGTAAAAGAAGGGAAAACTTGTTAATTATTTTCTGAGGAAACAAACATGTCCTTTCCTCTGAAAGAGCCATCTTCACTGGAATGAGCTAAATTTAGCATGCCAGCTCATGTTGGCTTTGCGTGTACATGTTAGTACCAACATTACCGTAATAGACACTTCAAAAACAACTTTTTTTCCTGACTGGAAAGGACAGCGGTAGGTGCTAGTAAATTGAGTGAGCGTAATTTATCCACCCCTACCCTCTCCCTAATTTAGCACACCTCTGATTTATTGGGTGTCGCATTCACACCTTGACACCGCCCTGCGAGTAGGCTCTTCCGAAAAATGACCATAATACTTGGGCTTTAAGTCACGCGATGACGAGACGCTTATTCGCGTCACCAAATGACGACAATCCAAAATTAAATGTCCAGATGTGACATCAACGCCATAAAAAAAAAAAAATGGATGCTGTGGTGCTAACAATCAACTGATGGTGCAACATGTCGTACGTACATGACTGTGACACACGCTGAGTTAAGTTGTCTTCGTAGACTTGATGGATGTGGTCAGTTCCAGTCATTAAAACGCCACTGGCAAAATAGAGAGGAAGACTGGGAGGAGCGAGTTGACATCATCTTCAGAGTTTAATAGATTCAATGTGGGCGCGAGTCCTCCGAACCTTCGGGCCCCCGTCTAGGGAAGTCTCGTGTTGTTATGGTCACATTCTTGACTTACTCATGCAAAGTAATTGGCCTTTTTGTTGGAAACTTGACCGCGGAGTGGCAGTAGCAGTTTTTGAATCTCGAAATCGGAAAAGATGTCCAAAATGTCGAAAGAGATAGTTTTGGATATTACACAAATAATCACAGGGGTTGGGATAGATAGATGAGATCACATTAAAGTCACCAACTTTCATCCCTAGGTCATTTTGTTTTTAATGAGACTACCCGCTGATTTTGTCTGTTGCCTTTCCTTCGGAGAGCAGTGGCAGTGCTGCAGTTTTGCACAGAGCTCTTCATCTTTGACCTTTGACCGCACAGGGATGTCTTCATGTGAGATGTGAGCGTGCCGCATTTAAAGGGAATGAGAGGAGCCGCTTTGATTGGCGACAAACAGAGTACACTGTTTTCACGCCCACAACAGCGCAAATTGCCATTTTTAAAAAATAGCTTGTGCGTATCTTAAAATTAGTATCTTAAAATTACCAACACCCAGAATAACCTGCCTGCACAACTGTATATAAAACTTGAGATATATTTTTATATACCTCTAGATTTAGTCGTGTATTATGATTTTATTTCTGAAACATGCTGGCTTTTATGGCGTAGCATTACAACACGTAAAACTGTATGAGTGTTCCATTGACCTTATGACTTAATTCCAGTAGCTTTACAAATTCCTTCAAATGATATTGTGACTTTATTGTAACAAAAGTCCAACTTTATTCCTGCAATAATCATAGTCTGACTTTATTTTAATATCATTCTGACTTTATTCCAATGAGTGTCCAACCTTGTCTTATAACCTTACAAAATTATTTCCAGAGCTTTGCACGTTATCTCATTATATTCCAACTTTATATGCGCAACATACTAGTTTCCACATCATGACTTTTTTTTTCTCCAAAAATGCAACTTTGTTCTCTGAATGTGACTTTATTCTTGTTACATTCTGACTTCATTTCTTGTATCCTTCAGATACTTGTAATATTATGACTTTTATTCTTGTCATGGTAAGACTCCATTTCCATAAGTTTTGAACATATTTGTAATCAAATATGTTTTATTGATGTGTTTATTTTAAAAGGAACTTGGTTGGTTTTGTGCAATCATGCACAAAAGGGAGGGAATACAGTATGAGTCTGTTTTGATTACAGTTTAATTGCAGTTGGTACGTATTTTCAGCCAACTACTGGCTTGGCATGCCTATTATTGCCTTTTGGAGGTTTTGACGTTTCACGAATGTGAAGGAATAAACATTGTCGTCGGTTTCAGGTTGTTGTGTAGCCTTTGAACATTTCAATACGTCAAGCTGACTGCGTGTAAATAAGACGAGGAGTCTGTTGAACTCACCCGTCTTGCTTCCTGACATCATACTTGGCTATCTAACGGTTTCTGGTTTATGGTCACCCAGTGGTAAACATTTTCACTATTTTCCAAAGAAAAGCATATTACGATTAATCTGAAAAACAGAGCAGGAGACATCACGCTTGCAGTTCGAACGACAAAGGGCCGGCACAGCGATGCCGTCGAGAAAATGGAAAGTTCCCATATGCATGGAAATGTTGTAAGACGCCATGACGCGTCGATCATGTGGAATTTACCAGATGTTGGATGCAGGAAGAAAATAGGAGGAAATGACACATCATGGAAAAAGGGTCAAACTATGCTTTGTGTGGAGTCACAGGAATACCAGAAACCTCCAAACTGACCAAAAGCTGACCCATTCCCGCCATGTTCTCATCTTGAGGTGTATTAATTGCATGGCCTCACAAAAGAATGTTTTGTCATGGCAGAATGGGCTTTAACCTCAGGGGTTGAAATCTGGATTGTTTTATGATAACATTTGGTTGTTGGGAGAAGGCGGCTTTGACAAAGAGGTACAGAGTAAGCAGTAATACAGCCAAAAAGGGAAAAAAATGCTATCGAGTGCCTTTTACCAGAAGTATTGGAATCGAGTCACATGACTTTACTTGGGTCAGACTTAAGTCGACAATTTTAGGACTTGGTAGTTGGCTAAAACTTATAACAAGACTCAACGTGACTTTGACTCGAACCACGTCACCCGAGGTGTGCCTGTTGATATTTAAAAATGTGCCGTTTCAAGATAATGTGCTATTTGTTTTTGAAATAAATTGCATGTTTTATGTATGAGATTTCCGACACCCCCCAACCCCAAACAGCTAAATAACGGATTAAAGACGTTTTCTTCAATTTAAAGCGATTATTATTATTGTTTTAGTCTTGAATCGCAAACTTTAAAACACATCAGATCTGTCATTATGTTTCACGTGCTCCCCCTGCCTTCACATGTAATGGACTCGTCTATGTAAATTCTTCCTGCGCATGTGCGGACTTGATTCAAAAAGAGAGTATTCAAAACAAACTTATTGGCGCTTTTGGAGGAAAATGAAATTGTTTTTCGAGTGAAGGGGAGAAGTCGGGAGGAAAACAGTGGAAATGAAGTTGCAGCTGCAGTAGAAATGAAGTGGAGGGTGACAATTTTGATCAGGAAAACGAAAATATAAAGTGACAAAATCGTAAATTGCATTACATGTTGATTAATGTTCATCTCAACGACAGTAAAAGCGTTGGGATGATTCAACTTTTAGATAATAGTCCTCGAGGAGGATATTTAAATGAAACTGAATAACTTATACCAGGTTGATTTTGGCATACATTTACACCGCTTGCAAATTATACATGAAAGTGGTTTTACTATTAGAAGCAACCCCCCCCCCCCCCCCTCGAGAGCGAGTGATGAAAACAAGTTCATAAGTTCATAATTTTCCATTCATCAGTCGTTGTTCACAGGTGACAGGGTCAGACAGTGAATCATCGGAAACCCTCAAGGCAAAAAAATATATATATATACTGCTATTTCATTGTTCGTTGTCGCAATGTCAGCGAATGTCCACAGTGACCCCCAGGAGACCGGGTCGGTTTGCACAAGTTCCTTCGTGTTTTTTTTTTTCAACCCGACACGAATCAAAAAGAAGATTCACTTCCTTCATTTGCGTAATTTGAGTTTTACCCTCTGTTGCAGCTTGTGTTTGCATCCATGCAAACAAGCGATTGTGACATCCTGTATTTGTGTGCCCCCAAAGCAACACATGTCAAGGTCACCAAGGTCAGCATTAGGTCAGATTATCGGGGCTGTGAGGGGAATTTTGACATTAAAACTGACTTAATTCACATGTTCTTACAAAGAATACAATGACTGTATTTCTTGTATTGTGACTTTAAAAAAATGTTACCATTGCATTTCATAGTATCCCCATAACTTTACAATGTTACTCTTGCAATATTATGACGTAAATTGATATTGGAACTTAATCACACAGAGAAGCATTCATTCTTACAGGTTGTGTTCAAATGACATTTTGTTGCTAACTTTTTCCAAATGTATGTGTCATTTTAGATTCAACTTTTTGTTGACATGCACAGTATGTCCTTGTAATTGTATTGTAACTTTTTGCTTCCTCTTGGTCGGAACACCCTTGAAAAAAGATTTTTTTTCGTCTCAATGGTACATTCCTGGTTCAATAAATGTTAAAAAAAAAACAACTTTCCATCCATACTGAAATAAATGGTGTGTTGAGTTTACTAAATTTTATTCGTGGCTGCACACATTTTTTCAGTACAGT